GAGAAACCCTACAGGTGTGAGGAGTGTGGCAGGCAGTTCAGTCAGCTGGGTCATCTGAAGAGACACATGCGGACTCACACTGGGGAGAAACCCTACAGGTGTGAGGAGTGTGGCAGGCAGTTCAGTCAGCTGGGTCATCTGAAGAGACACATGCGGAGTCACACAGGCGAAAAACCGTACAGGTGTGAGCGGTGTGGCAGGAAGTTCAGTGAGCTGAATAATCTGACGAGGCACATGCGGACTCACACAGGGAAGAAACCCTACAGGTGTGAGGAGTGCAGCAGGCAGTTCAATGAGCTGAGTGATCTGAAGAGACACATGCGGACTCACACTGGTGAGAAACTCTACACCTGTGGGGAGTGCAGCAGGCAGTTCAGTCGGCTTGATTATCTGAAGTCTCACATGCGAACCCACACGGGCGAGAAACCCTACAGGTGTGAGGAGTGCAGCATGCAGTTCAGTCATCGAAGTCATCTAAAGGCCCATATGCGAACTCACACAGGGGAGAAACCCTACAGGTGTGAGCGGTGCAGCAGGCAGTTCAGTCAGCTGGGTAGTCTGAAGACCCACATGCGGACCCACACTGGGGAGAAACCCTACATGTGTGGGGAGTGCAGCAAGCAGTTCAGTCAGCTGGGTAATCTGAAGAGCCACATGCGGACCCACACCGGGGAGAAACGCTACTGATGTGAGACACGCATGCAACAGGCAAACGTCTTCTAAATAGACAATGCAATCTCACAGAGAAAGAAGTAAGAAATTTAAAGCTTGTGGCGGCGAGTAATCATGAAGTGAAGTTAGCAGACTGCTCTGAAATCACACATAATTGATACGTCTGTGCTAAGGATTTGTTCTTTAGGCTGTTCCTTTATAGTAATTTGAAGAGAGGAAGTATTGCCTAGTTGATGTTGTATCTCATTAGTGATACTCGTAGTTGATACATGTATTTTCAGAAATTACATCAACTGCACCAAGTAGGATTTAAGCAACTGTTCTTCATAGGATCAGTATATATGACTAGTAGTAGCAAATCATTCTGATTTTTACGATATTCTACGTACATATGTTCTACATATGTTACTTATATATTCTTTCACCAACAATGTTTCTAGTATACTTACCTAATAGTATGTGTGCATGTAACGTATGGCATTATACATGTTATATGGTGTAGGTTTTTGGGTCCAATTTAACGTTAGAAGTGCTAGATAAGCCAGTTTATGTAGATAAAGGAAGGTACTAAAATTAATGTGACTTGGTATGGTTTAAGATTAACGTCTTTAAACTGTTTACAGTAACGTTTGATGCATGTCTGTTACAGTAGCCTAGACTGAACTTGAATATGCCGATGCTCCTGTTAATTTTGTTATGCTTGCATGTTGTTTCTGAGTTCCTTGCACTTGTAATAGTTTTGAATCGCATAAAAAGTTTTCAATCACATAATAAATTTTTATCCATTCATTTATTCGATGTTATATAAGATTTTCACTATTTTAAACATCGTTGCTTTACACATTTTCTTCCGCTAGAAGCTACCTGGATACATAATGACATTTGGGGAGTAAAAGATCAGCGTCGTTGCGCCGCAAAAACGTGTTTGGAAGTATTAAAGTAATTAATTTTTTTTAGATAAAGCTACTTCATCGTTGAAGAGATTCATCAGTCACGTATAGTATAAGTTCAGTAAGATAATTCTTTCAATCAGTGACTATTAATCCTAAGGTACATACCTCCGAATTTTCGACGACTAGTCAGTTCGTCTTGGTCACGGAATAATCCTAGTCTCGCAAGATAACGCGAGACTAGGACGAGACTTGCGTGGAATGCCCTGGTGAGCCCGAAAGATCCTTTAGATCCGAGTGAAAAGTGTGGTGTCATTTATAAATTTGTCTGCGAACACTGCGGTGAGACGTATGTGGGAGAAACAGAGAGATCGCTGGGGGAAAGGTCAGGTGAACATCAGAAGTCGATTGACCGTAAGGACTACAAGTCTGCACTTAGTCAACACCAGTTACAGACTGGACATAGGGTCACCACCCAACCTATACTAGACACGATCGAAATTATCGACCAGGAAGCCCGCAACGCACATCGGAAGATCAAGGAGGCCATACACATCCAACTAGTGGGAGCCAAGCTGAACCGCAACGAAGGCTGGCAGCTGCCTAAGCCCTACCTACCTCTACTCCGCAAGGAGGCAGAGGGGGGCAGAAGATCCACGCAAGTCTCGTCCTAGTCTCGCGTTATCTTGCGAGACTAGGATTATTCCGTGACCAAGACGAACTGACTAGTCGTCGAAAATTCGGAGGTATGTACCTTAGGATTAATAGTCACTGATTGAAAGAATTATCTTACTGAAAGCTACTTCAATGATGAACATCGTTAGGTAGATTTTATTTGTTGAGGAAACATTAGCCTAATTAATTACGGTTGCCGGCCGCCCAACATCCAGCCGCTTTGTGGGGAGGGGCCACCAAACTAAACCCGCGGACGGCAGAGTTTGCGTTACACAGACTTTAAAAAAGGAACATTGTGTCCGATGATATCCAAAGTTGTGAAGTTGTAGCTCAGAGCTGCAAACAGAACATGCAAGCAAACTGGAGTACGGGTTTCACTTCCACCGTAACCAAGAATAAGGGTTTCGCACAGGCGCAGCACGTTCTGCAGACGTGCTCTGAAACTGCAAACTGTTCACGGAAAGCCTGCACGATTGACATATCTTATTGGATGGAGAACTTAATCAATTTATACTGATGATCGATCATGAAAAGGATGGCTTCTTTTTTTCTTCGGTTGGTAACCGCCTTCACATTTGTTAAGATTTCGGTGCCTTGTTGAAGTCTTTCTTTCTTCAACTTCGAAGAAAATCACGACACAACAGCGAAGATTGATGCTGAAGGCCGTGCGGCTCATACACTGTAATCGGTCAGTTGTGGTTTTATCTGGGTAATCAGGTATAAATTTTGTGACCTTTGACCCAACCCGCGTCTGTCAGCCATTTTGACCAGCGCCAGCAGAGGCAATATTTTTTCTCCAAATCTAAGACGGTTTTGAAACCGATTCAACGTTTTACCGATCCTGCAACAACAGAAACACACAGGTGAGACATTTGTTAGTTATCTATGTTGATACTTGACGTTGATAAGACCGCAAGATTGGCCAGTAGAGATTTTGAAGGTGTGAAGAGTACATCTCCTTTAAATTGGGGAGGGGGGCACGTGCATATGCTATCAAAACGGGACAAAAAATATAACGTTCTTCGTTCGGCAGCGTTTTGTGGCATGGAGGTACATGTAGCTGCAGAAGCTCTTTTTGGTCAAAACGAGGGACTTTGAACTTTTGACTCCAATTCCAGTATTATAACTGTTATATCCAATACTCTAATAATTTGACACAACGAAAAGTACAGGGACTTTTGTATGGTCTTCTACAACTAAAGATCTAACAACAGGAATTCGTGACAAAAAAAAGTGACATGTGTCGGTATGAGGCATAATACAGGTATGTATATAGATACAAGGTGTTTGACATGGCCATAGCTTTTCTGTTTTCTTGTTTCATTCCTGTTCTATGATGAAATGCTGAGTATTCTTTATCGCATGTGAACATTTCTCAGTCATTCAATCTGCTTTGATTCTGTATACCATTGCAGAAGGAAAACATATTGGTTTTCCTCAGTTATCCTTTTTTTTCTTCCATTCGAAACAAATGATGACAATGACCTGGACCAGACGCCTGTCACCATGGTAACTGGTGCTGTAGCAACACCCTGTGGTGTCGGGTTACATTATGTAGCAGAACAGATTTGGAATTGAAGATAGCCTGCTCAGTGCTCACCATACATACGATTATGAATGTATTTGACTTTGAGTACGAATAAAAATTACAGTAGATTGTTCGGCTAAACCAGGTGAAGCATTAGCATTACGCATTTGCTAAATGTTACCTTTCTGGTAGTAGTTCTTTACTTTCTTTTTCATTGTTTCTAGAGATGACGGAGAGAAGCTCTGAGTCTGAGATTCCTGTGGATGAACTGCCATCGGTACACCCTGGGAACGAGACAAACAGCAGCGAGCAAAAATCACCCGTTCCTGTTCCGGGCCAGACAGAGCAGACAAAGGCGGCCAAACGCTTTGCGTGTACGGTATGTGACTTCACGACAGATAAAAAATCAAAACTATCCATCCATGTGAGAAGACATACGGGTGAGAAACCTTACAAATGTGACCAGTGCAACTATTCCACTGCAGAGAAAGGCCATTTAACCCAACACATGGTTAAACACACTGGAGACAAACCCTACATATGTGGAGAGTGCGATTTCCGGACCGCCTATGGGTCTGTTCTGACAAAACATAAGAAAATGCATAAAGGTGTAAAACCCTACAAGTGTGACCAGTGTGACTATTCCACCATAGGCAAGTACAAGTTAGACGAACACATGGCTAAACACACCGGAGAAAAACCCTACGTATGTGGAGAGTGCGATTTCAGGACGGGCTATGCGTCAGTTCTAGCCAAACATAGGAAAACGCATACAGGTGTAAAACCCTACAAGTGTGACCAGTGTGACTATTCCGCCGCACACAAAAACCGGTTAGACCAACACATCATGGCTAAACACACCGACGACAAACCCTACAAATGTGATCAGTGTGACTTTTCCTCTGTACGGAAATACCGGTTAGACCAACACATGGCTAAACACACTGGAGACAAACCCTACGTATGTGGAGAGTGCGATTTCAGGACAGACCAAGAGTCTGTTCTGGCAAAACATAGAAAAAAACATACAGGTGAAAAACCCTACAAGTGTGACCAGTGTGACTATTCCGCCGTACGCAAAAACCGGTTAGACCAACACATCATGGCTAAACACACCGGAGAAAAACCCTACAAATGTGATCAGTGTGACTTTTCCTCTGTACGGAAATACCAGTTAGACCAACACATGGCTAAACACACCGGAGAAAAACCCTACGTATGTGGAGAGTGCGATTTCAGGACGGGCTACGAGTCTGCTCTGGCAAAACATAGAAACATACATACAGGTGAAAAACCCTACAAGTGTGACCAGTGTGACTATTCCGCCGTACGCAAAGACCAGATAGACCAACACATGGCTCAACACACCGACGACAAACCCTACAAATGTGACCAGTGCGACTATTCTGCTAAACTGAAAGGCAGTTTACGCCGACACATGGCTACACACGCTGAAGAAAAACCCTACATGTGCGGAGAGTGTGGGTACAGGACTGCTCTCAGGTATTATTTATCCAGACATATGAGAGCCCATGGTGCGAAAACCCATAAGTGTGACCAGTGTAACTATTCTACTGGAATCAAAGGCAATTTAGACCAACACATGGCTAGACACGCTGAAGAAAAACCCTACATGTGTGGAGAGTGTGACTACAGGACGGCTTCCAGGTATCACTTATCCAGACATGTGAAATCCCACGGTGAGAAAGCCTACACGTGTGATCAGTGCGACTATGCTGCCACAAAAAAAGAACTCTTAGATCGGCACTTGGCCAGACACTCTGGACAGAAACCCTACATGTGTGGAAAGTGTGGATACAGTACAACTGTCCAGTATTCCTTGAAAGTACACATGAGAAAACATACAGGGGAGAAACCTTTCAAGTGTGACCAGTGCGACTATGCTGCAGCAGCGAAAAGAGATTTAAATCGTCACTTGGCGAAACACACTGGAGAGAAACCTTACGTATGTGAAGAGTGTGGATACAGGACAAATATAAAGTTTTCCTTAACCGCACACGTGAAAAGACATAAAGGAGAGAAACCTTACAAGTGTGACCAGTGTGACTATTCTTCTGCATATAAATTTTGTTTAGTCCAACACAGGTATAGTCACACCGGAGAAAAACCCTACCTGTGTGGGGAGTGTGGATACAGGACAGCTGACAGGTCCGGTTTGTACAAGCATATGAAAACCCATGCAGGTGCAAAACCCTCTCAATGTGACCAGCACGACAATTCTACTGCACAAAAAGGTGATTTAGACTGACACATGGCTAAACACACTGAAGAAAAAACACTACGTGTGTGGAGAGTGCGGATACAGGACAGCTTACAAGTATTTCCTATCTGCACATATATATATATATGAAAACTTGTATAGATGTAAAACAGTGTTACTATTCTGCGTGAAGGGAATACTGGCCAACACAATTCTGTACCCATCCATTGTGTTTGGGGAATGTGGGTGTAGGCCAGCTTACAGGGCTGCCTTGTCCACACACACAAATGGCGAATCGTGCTGACTTGACTTGTATGTGCCGAGCCCTGGTGTCCCTCACATCAAGTCAATTCAGAATGGCAGCCCAACCGTTCCTGTCTTCCATTACCTGGCTACATCTGTGAGAAGTGAGGCCTAAAACCTACCCGGATGACCTGGCACCTTTGAGGGCAGAGGAAAACCACACAAATGTGACCAGTTTGTACATTCTGCTGCTTGGAAGAACAGTTTTGACTGACCCTTCCGGATTCAGGACAGCAGATGATGATACGTTTATATTGAAACATTTGGGGATACATTATTTGTATATTTAGGTAAAATCGTATAAATTTAACCATTAGCGTTTTACTAACTCTGTCCCAAAGCTGGTTCTGCTTCTTTCCATGCCAGATGAACACCAATAACCTTTTCTTGAAAGGACATGAAGCACAACAAAATGAATTACATCATAGTGTCTCTTTTATTGAATTCACCATGTTTGCCTTTATTTCCTTGGTTCTAAACTCATTGGACATATTCAGCTTGAACTGATTTTGACTTCAAGCCTTGACGATGTTGTATGCTAGTTTTAAAGAAATAAGTTGACACCTGTATTTTATCTTCAACTCAGATCTCCTTATTCGGTTTGTAAAAATTAGGACCTTAGACCCCTAATGACTTCATTAGTGTTGATTAAACAATTTGTTTTTCACGTCTAAGGGTCAGTACAAGCTATTTAATGATACAATGGATGATCTAGTGTCTTATGACTGCAACCAAGATCGTCCTTGAACTCTGCTGTCTTTTTTTCTGGGCATACAAAACCGAGAAGTTGAATTTATAATTATGATAGTTAGTTTTGTACCTGTTAGCTGTATCTATTCAACAATGTTTTGTGACCCGAACTTAGCCCAGTAGTGTGGCAAAATGTTACGTAGGAATTAACCACTTTTGAAGATGAGAAAAATAAAATAAAATTCGCTGAAAGTAATGGATGGATGGAAATTTCTCATTTATTCTTTAACATTGGAGTAAATTTACATTTGTTCAATCGAACTCAACAATTTTGAACAAGATTGCAATACAATAGAGGGGATGGTATTCGATACTGTTTATACTTCGTGGGCACCGGTTTAAACCTGTTTAGCTCCTATAAAGCGTTAAGCGAATGTTGAATAATTGAAAGAATCAGCAACAACTATGGAAACAATTGTCGGCTGAGAAGTGTTGACAAAACGAGGGAAACTTTTACTGGAAAGGTTTTTTTACAGTAGTTGGCATCAAATAAAGTGCATGTCTTTTTTTCAAATTCAGAACAAAAGGTTCAGTTGTTCAAAGAATCATAACGTACCGTCTTGTTGAGAAACCGTTACTGTGTTGATTGATTGATAACAGTACTGTCACTCATGATACAAAAAAATCTCATTCAAACTTGGCTTTAAATTCAAGGCATGTTGAATTTACAAACTGCAGTAACGTTGTCACATCAGTCCTCTGGACCGAACTCTCTCACTCGGACCAGTTCTTCCAGTACCAGCGCTTGATGTAGGTCCCGCGATCGGTTTGGCAGAAGGGGTGGGTGTGTTAGTGGTGGGTGTGTTAGCAGTGGTGGGTGTGTTAGCAGTGGTGGGTGTGTTAGCAATGGTGGTCGTGGCAGAAGGGGTGGGTTTGGCAGAAGGGGTGGGTTTGGCAGAAGGGGTGGATTTGGCAGAAGGGGTGGGTTTGGAAGAAGGGGTGGATTTGGCAGAAGGGGTGGATTTGGCAGAAGGGGTGGATTTGGCAGAAGGGGTGGGTTTGGCAGAAGGGGTGGGTTTGGCAGAAGGGGTGGGTTTGGCAGAAGGGGTGGGTTTGACAGAAGGGGTGGGTTTGGCAGAAGGGGTGGGTGTGTTAGTGGTGGGTGTGTTAGCAGTGGTGAGTGTGTTAGAAGTGGTGGGTGTGTTAGCAGTGGTGAGTGTGTTAGCAGTGGTGGGTGTGTTAGCAGTGGTGGTCGTGGCAGCAGTGGTGGGTTTGGCAGAAGGGGTGGGCGTGTTAGCAGTGGTGGGCGTGTTAGCAGTGGTGGGTGTGTTAGCAGTGGTGGGTGTGTTAGCAGTGGTGGGTGTGTTAGCAGTGGTGGGAGCGGCGATGGGTTAGTTGCTGTAAGAGACGATCCTTCTCCCGGAGTAAACGTTGTCGTCTGACTGCATGTCTCCTTGCAAATGTTGTCGGGTGCTTCCGTCTCTTTTCCCTGGACAACTGAAGGACTGCGGCGCTCTGTTAAATTGCCTTCTCCGGCAGCAGGACATTTGTCTGCTGTATCTGGGCTTGACGCTGGGATGCCGAACGCCGAGCGTGTCGAAGACTTTGCCATGCCGTCTGCGTCGTCGGCGGCAGCGGAGGAGGGTGGTGAGCTGTCCTTGCCGCTGTCGGCCGATGGTGCGCCCGGCTCTTTTTCATTGGAAACCTCGATCTTCCCATTCTCCGGCTCTGGTTTATCTTGGAGCTCTGTCTTGGTGGTCCTCTCGGAACTCTTCACTGGGTCTGAATAGGGTAAACGCGCATTTATTACAGTTGTTTTTGCAGACACCTCATTATAATTTCCGTATTCTTCAACACCTCATTACCTCCGGTGGAGGAGACATCCTTCCGCGGATGGGTTTTGTGGGAGATTTAGATTTTCTTGTTCGCAGCTGTTTCTCGCGTTTGGGTGGACGGATTCTTTTGAAACTCGGTATATGTTTTGCTATTGGGCTGCAGATGATGCACGTTCTTTTGTTTTTATTTTATATGTGTTTTCGGGCCTAAAATGGTGCCTTTTGGTGGCCCCAGAACACCCCTTTGAGCGTGAAAGTGGTCGCGACCGTTGACCTTTGGCGTGTGTCAAGTACTGTCGGTCTCGTCCACGAAGCTGACCTCTCGCACAGAGGGGTGTCCAGTCTCGATAAATTATTTGTTTGAAAACCCAAGGACGTTCACTAGTCCTGCGTCGCGCAACAATTGTTGTTTGGAGGGTATTTGTAGTACGCGTTCATAGGACGCGTGGTCGGCAACTTACGGGTGGGCCAATGGGTCAGGGGTCAACGTACTCTAGCAATCTTTGTTTTGGATGTTTTCGGCGTAAGTTCCGACCTCTAACTTACAAATACCGCGGTATACGGTCTCAGACGTTCTTGACATGCATTTTTACCGAGGATTCAGACCTTTACTTCCCCGATTTATACGAAGAACTTCGGCGGGAAATGGAGGAAGTGATAATGACGATGGCTTGCTACTTCAGCCGTTATTTTTAACGTCTGATTTAACGGTTCCGGTTGTCATTCTCAGTTTCATTACGAGTTCCTTTCGGCAGATTAAATAGAATTTAACAAGTTCATGGGTACATGTTATGGGCTGCAGTTGAAAATGTTGAACGCTAAATTTTAACTAGTAAGGAAGACTCGGTGTAAAGTGGGAAGAAGAGGAAGATAGATTCTATGGTTTGCACTACAAGCAAAATAGGAATGATTCTACGTTAATTGAACGT